TATATAATTTGATTACCTTTTATCATATTCTTCTCGAGTCCGATTAATAAATTTGATTCAAGGCTTATTTCATCAAAATTATGCTTTTGTGATAACATCTTAATCAACCTTTTTCGATATATATATATATATATATCACGACTTTTTAAAATAATTATTTTCAACACATTAAAAAGATGCATTTCTGTATGACATTTTATTCATCCATCATGTTCATTACCATTTACATTCTACGAATTATTTCGTCATCACACTCATTCGTGATCACAATTAATTCCCCTACACATGCTGTCTTAACACAACAAGTCGTTAAGACTCCAAAGAAATCATTCACTAATACTGCCAAAGAAATGGCAGAAGATAAGAGTATCGACAAATCTTTTACTAAGTATTATGCACTTTATTACAGAATATCTGTGAGTGGTGAGACTGAAACCACCAAGAGGTTTCGAAAAAAGTATTACCCTGGTACTTATTTGGAAGCGATTGACAATGTTTAGTTTCAAAATGAACTTATGGTATCGGTATAAATATTTGATAAGATTTGAAGGCAACCTTTTTTTATTAAAATCTTTAGTGTTGTCTTTTAATATATTAGCAGCATGTATACTTGTTTCACATCAATTATGGGAAACCAAAATATCTATTTCTTAAAATATTCATGTAATAATCATGTAGGGTTTGGTATTTTCAATCGATATTTTATTAAAGAGGATATTTAATTTTGAAACTTCAGAAAATACTTCGTACGAGTTTTTGAATATAATACTTCTTTCCATATTTTTTGCATATAGTTATTTTCTGTCAAAAGAACAAATAAGAGAGGTAGATGAGTCTTTGCAATCTTGGATTCGCAATTTACCGAACTTATAAGAAATAATACCGGGTTGGTGAAAAGTAACCTTTTTTTAATCACTATGATAATGTTTAGTAATCATTGCAATAAATTAAAAATTATTACAATTTTTAATTTATTGCAATGATTACTAAACATAATCATAGTGATTAAAAAAAGGTCACTGTTCAGTTACTTTTCACCACCCCGGTATAATATGCAAATCGAAGAGGTTAGAGAATTATTTGAAATAATTAAATATTTTTATCAAAAATATACGTGATCTCAATAAACTTTTTGATATTCTGCAAGGTAAATGTTCTATAATGCTATGAAATAAAAGTTTATGAAAATCAGCTATTTGGGATTTCAAAGCTACCTTATTTCGAAAATAAATGAGTTTAAAAATCTCTTATGTTTTGAAGTTCTGAAATCAGAAAACTAAATAGAAGCATACGAGTATGAAATTTATAAACCTTTTCTTTTAAAAAAGATCTCTTAATTTGAAATAAATACGCCACTTATCGTTATTTTAGCAATTTTTGAATGTGTGCCAGGCCGGTGGCGCATTAATCAGTTCAAATAATTTGCGCAAATTGAAAAATTCTAATGATAACAATGACGATAATAAAATTATAATTTTAATAGAACGAAACTACCATTTTTTAACGTTATTTCTCTCGAATCATGTTCTGGTTATTTTCTAAAAAGCACGTTTCCCTTCATTTTTTTCATAATCTTTAGCTTCTTATATTATTGGTTTGAATTCAACAAATCGTATTCTTTACTTTTATAATGTTTATAAATTATAATTTTCAAAATTTTTACAGACCAGAACGTCAAAGTTTTTAATAAAATACGCGATAAGAAAATATTGGCTTTAAAAGTATGATAATAAATCTCAAATAAACACGTACTATATAATTTATAAAAAAAATTCTTCAAATGAAGAAAAACTTTCTCATAATCTACGCTGAATCGTATCTTAAAAAAAAAATAATAATAGTAGTTTCCTTAATTTTAAAGACGTTTCACTTTTAAAACTAAACTTTATAAGTTTTGTTAACCTTACATACTTCCGAAATTACTGTAATATACTCTACTTACATATTAAGTACGGTCAACTCCTTTTATATGGACCTTTTTATAATGAACGAACTAAAAATTTTAAAATTATATTATCTCTGTTATGTCTTCAATTCACAAAGAAATATAGAAAACATTCAAAGAACAGGGCGGTTGATGAAACACATGATAGAAATTTTCGTTAAAAAAGAAATTTTATGAACGCACTGTATATACTGAAATAAAAAAGATCATTGTGGCTGAGTAATGCGCCATCAACCTGGTGCACATTCAAGATTTTATCCGAACCATTAATTTTTGAAACCCGTTATTTTAATGACATCGACGACAAATACGTGTAATAACTGATTTATTACACGAATCCTAATTGTTCACCCATGACTTTTTTTTACTGATATTCTCACAGTTGATATTTTCATAAAATCTGTGAAAAATATTAACCGTGAAATATCAACCGTGAGAATATCAGTAAAAAAGGTCATGAGTGAACAGTATATATATTGTTAGAGCATTAGTAAAGTAATAAATTTTAAAATATTTTTATATTTAATTAATAAAGCTTAATACTAAAAATTTTACAATAAAAATATAAAAAATGAATATAATTAAAACAAATATAGTAAATATGACAACCGCTCATAGCTTTACTATTAGATCAATTTTTTGTTATGTGGATTTGGGATAAGATTTTGAATTTGACCAGAGCTTGGATTTGGCCAAAGTTTGGTATTTGCCCTTCGGTGAAATGACTGTCGGTGCCAGGGTTGCATAATTTACGTAAGTTATTTAAACGTTAAATTTTAACTGACGTAACTTACGTAACTTACATATTTTAGTACTAAATAAGAATCAGCTTCTATATGATTTAGTATTCCTAATACCAGCTGAATTTAATTTCAAAGTTGGCTTGCATTAATATTATGTATTTGTAACTTACATGAAGCTATGTAACAATGTAACTTACAATGTAAGTTACATTGTCAGGTAAGTTATCTCAACCCTGGTCGGTGCGCCGCTAAATATGATACTAGATATAACTATTCTGTATCGGGGGTTATCCAAATATTTCTAAATCAGGCTTATATTCATCCATTCCTGGTTAGCACGACAATGCAGCTACTTTATTGCAATAACGCAAATAAAAGATTTTGTATACAAAAATTTTTACGGGTCTTGAAGCCGGTTTTATTTTTCATATGTTAAAAACGGTTTAATCGGTTTAGCATATGAAAAATAAAACCCGGTTCCAAACTCTAACCTTGTCGTATAATTTTTATTGACAAAAATATATATATAAAGAAAAATATCGTGCAATCTCACAGGTTTACGTATGTAGTACGGGACAATAAAGATATTTCCTATTTTTATATTAGGTAAACAAATTCTGTTAATATCCGGAGCGTTTATGAAACTTCATGTACGTACAGTATATACTGTATTTATTATTACCGTTATACGCTTTAAAATCCAAATACGTATAACTCCATTTAAACAAGACATTTTTGGTACTTATCGTTATCCATTGCAAGCCTTTCGCTACGCCCGACAAAAAGCGCCAATTAGGCTTACATAATCAATTCTGATTTGCAAAGTCTTTATACAGTATAACGCTAAAACTTATTCAAAACAAAGAAATAAACAAATCCTCTAACAAATTACAGTAACTAAAAAATGTTACTGTATTAATAATGATATTATCACTTATCAAAGGGCCTATCATTATCACACATCTAACGCTAATAACGATAATACAGTATGAAAGGTATTGTACGTATGTAGGTACGTACAGTACGTACCTGTTATGACCTATTGGCTAAATATAGGTATGAAACCTAAAATGGTCAACACTGGTACATTTATAACGATTACTTGCATCCAGTATGAAAAGCAGAAAAAAATAAAATAAAATAACCACCAAAAAAAGAAAATTCATACTCCAGCTTGAAACAAAACGAGCGAGCGATTATAGTTTTATTAATTTAGTCACTTCCTGCAATATTATATGGCCCAGTCATTTTATGTGGATCCGTATCGTTATTTCATAGTTTATTTCATCGACAGCTCATTTCACATGGTTTTCTTATAACTTACACATAAGACTAATTACCTTTCGATTAAATGAAATGAGCTGTTGGTGAACAAATTATCTATGAAATGAACTTCAAATGATTGTCGAAAAACACAGCATGTAGGGAGAATTTTCTGCACATCTGACTGGCTTCTGCTCGACTTCAGATCGATCATACGTACTCGCATTACATGAGATATTAACTATTACGTAAAATCGAATTTAAATATATGGGATTTCCTGAGTGATCGGACTTATGATCGGATAATCCACATATGTGCAATGTCTGATACTCAAAAACGCTGTTTAGGCCGATGATCTTCAAAATTATTACAGTAATAATCTTCTTTATAGTAAAATTAATCCGGAAGTATTTTTACTTACTGTAATAAGGCAGTTGTAGTTCATTTCGCGTAATTTTGGTCCGGCTGCGCCATGATATAAAATAAACTTGTCTGTGAATTACGTAATTGTCTGTAAAATACGATCTTGACTCTATAGGGACTCTATAAATGGGTAGCGTTATTCAAAAAGGAAATTAAAACAATAGTTAATACGTAATCAAGTGAAATTGTTGTAATTTCCTTTTTTGAGTTTCGCTACCCATCTATAATCCTGAATAACGGCAGGTGTGCCTATAGAAATTTGTTTAAATAAATCTCTAGAGATAATATTCAACACCAAATGCACACATAAATTACATTTTGTACAACTTGTTCAGATCACCAAAAAGTATTTGTGAGAAAGGTTATTGAATGATAACATTCACTGAATCATTCACTGAATCATTCATTGAATTATTTATTTAAATTATTTAAACAAAATGTGGGATTTATACAAAATAATTGTACAGCAAAAATAATACAATTAATTAATTAATTAGTCATTAGTATTATATATTTTATACTTCTATATAATGATCTTTTGCCATTACTAAATACAAGTATTATGACTAGCCTATTATATAATATATATCGATATTAATTAAAGTTTTTTTAAAAAAAAATTTTTTTATTTATTAGCCATTTCTAATACTAGAGTCACGTTTTTAGATAATACCTAAAAAGAAAAAAAACGAAATTAAGTAATTGCAAGAAAATATCAATTAATAATACGTCAATTAATAATACTTACTTCTTTAAATTTAATATCCAATTCACTCTTTTCATTTTGTAATTTTTCACGTTCTGCTTCTGATGCTTTAAGTGACCTATCCAAGTCTATTATTCGTCGCTCTAAAGTAGATATTTTCTTTGCCTCACCACGATCACTTAATCGATCGCGTTGTCGTTTTTCCAATGATTCTATACGCGCTTGTATCGCTGAAGAAAGGTTATTAATTTCTTCTTCATGTTGTTGTTGAAGTTTTTGCATTTCAAACTCATGATCTTGTAAAAGTTGTTGCTTTTCACTTTTATAAGCTTCAAGTTGTTTATCAGCTCTTGTAATTAATTGTTCTAATTCCTCAAGTCTTAATTCAATTTTGTTTCTTTCCTCACATTCATCTGCTAACTTCTTTTTGAGATCACTTATTTCAGATTCTTTATCAATTAGTTCCTCTTTTGTAACTAGTTCTTCTTCACTCGCATCTTGTTTTTCAAGTATTTTCTTAAGCTCCGTTGCTTTCCTTTGTATCAATTCATTGTCATTCATAGCATTAGCAAGCTTACATTGGAGGTCACTGATTTGTGTGTTTGTTTTATGATTTTCACCTTCCGACTCTCGTAATTTTATTTCTAGATTTTTGATACGTGTTTTTTCCTCTTCTAATAATTTTTTCAAATCTTTTGATTCATTTTGTATGGTCTCTAATTCATTTTGTATGATCTCCAATTCTTCTCGAAGCTCTTCAATTTCTGAATCTTTCTCTTGTAATTTATATTCGTAATTTGAAATAAGATCTGCTTCTTGTTGATTCCACTTTTCTCTATCGGCTGCCATTTCTTTCATGAGTCTTTCTATACCAGATTCTTGTTCCTTCATACGCTTTTCCATGCCCGATATATTATCTTTTGTCTCATTAATTTGATTATCTTTATTAGAGTATTCTAATTTAATACTTGAAAGTTCATTGATCGATAAATCTCTCTGTTTCTCCACCTCTTGATATTTGATTTCAAGTTCTTTATATCTCATCTCACTCTCATCTCTCTCTTCTCTAATTGACAAAAGTTTATCCCGTTCATTTCTAAGTTCTTCAACATCTCTCTTCATTGTCATCATTTGTTTTTTAAACTGTCGTATTTCTTCTTTTGCCTTTGATAACTCATCTTCAATTCGTTCCCTATCCGTTATAATCTTATTATTTTGTTTTATCAATTCATTATACTTGGTTTCAATTTCTCTTTTATCAATTGTCAATTTTTTATATTTGGAATTCAATTCTGCGTATTCAGTTTCTGTAGAATCAAATTTAAGAGCTGCATTATTCATAACTTGAAGTTTTTTCGAAGATTCGGAATTTTCTTGTGATAATTTATCATTTTGTAAAGTTAAATCATGAATCGTATCTTCATATTCATCTTTCGCTTGATTAAGTTGACGTTCTGTTTGACTAAGTTGACGCTCTGTTTGACTAAGTTGATGTTCTAATTTTGATATAATTTCTAACTTATCATTAATTGAATTGTTTAAATCTTCACAACGTTCTTTAGTTTCATCATATTTAATTTTTATTTCATCATATTTTAATTCCGTACTTGATAAATTAACATGTAAAGATGATAACTCTTCACTAACATTCTGTAATTCTTCACGAAGATTTTTTATAATTAATTCTGAATTCCCATCTGTTTTATCTTCTTTAGCCTTCAATTGTTGATCTTTGGCATCCAATTTTTGTTTAAGATCTTTAATGAGTTTTTCTGTTTCTTTTTGAAACTGGGCTATAAGTTTGGTCGTAGATCCATTCTGTCGTTTAAGATTTGCTATTTCTTCCTGAGATTGATCAAGCTTTCTTTCAAGTTCCTCTTTTTCAGCTAAAAATTCATCTTTTTCAATCATTATATCAGATAATTGAGATTCAGATTCTTTAATTCTTCCCTCTGCATCATGTTGATATTGATACCAAGCTTGCATAGCACTATCATATTCTTCAATCTGCTTTCGTAATTCTTGTTCTATTGCTTTATGTTCAAGTCGCATCTCTACTATAACATTTTTAGGATCTTTTAGTATATTTTCCATTTGTTTTGTATGCATATCTTTAAGTCTTTCAATTTCTTGTTCGTGATTTTGTTTCATAGAAAGTTTTTCTTGATATGAATACTGTTTATTTGCTAATAGACTTTTATCGGCTTGATCTTTTAAGATTTTTATTGCTTGAAGTTCTTCAATTAATTTATTCTTTTCAATATCATTATCTCTTAATCGTTCTTCATTTTGCATTTCTTGGTCTTTGAATTCTTTCTTTACCTTTTCTAACTCTACTTTATGATCAAGTTTTAACTTTTCTAAATCATTCTTTAAATCTTGTATCATAGTATCATATTCTTGTTTTTGTTTCTCTTTTGACGATTCATATTCTTTCTTTAACTTTTCTAACTCTTCTTTATGATGTTCACTTGAACTTGTTTCAATTGGTGTTGTCATACCAGTACTAGCGGTATAACTATTTTCATTATATGATGAACGTAATTGAAAAGTACTTGCTTCAGATTGATAATCCGAAGTACTTTTAGAAAGACTATCATCTCGATGATGATTTTTTTTATATTGAAGAAGATCAGATTCAATGCTAATAGGAGATTTTATCGAAGATTGACTAACAGGTGATCTCATTGGAGGTGATTGTTGATAATTTAGTGATTTTTCACTGTTAGAAGTTAAAGATAATGAAGTATCAATAGTTTTATTCACAGCTCGTTTTGTAAATTTATCCTTAGATGAAATTGATTCATTAACAGTATTTCTTTCATTTTCCAATGATTTTTCACTGTTAGAAGTTAAAGATAATGAAGTATCAATCGTTTTATTCACAGCTCGTTTTGTAAATTTATCCTTAGATGAAGTTGGTTCATTAACATTATTTCTTTCATTTTCTAATGCTTTAAGTCGAGAAGCAATTGCTGCAACTCTATTTTTAGATTGTGACTGTGAAGAATCTATCACTTTTTTAAAAGTAGAATCAGTTTTATTATCTACATTTATTTTATTTATGGTAGAATTTATCGTTGACTTCGGAAGTTTATTTGGTAAGGAAGGGAGAGGTCGGTTATTATTTTGTGAATTTAAATTTTCAAATTGTTCTAGTTTCTTTCGCAATACTGAAGCCATGAATAAATTATAAGTGAAATTATGTTATAAAAGTTATATACAAAAAGTATATGCGAAAAAGTGTTGTGTCAAGGAGGGAAAGAGTTTGTTAAATGATAACAAACAATTCGATAAAATTTAACTGTATATTCATAATGTATTTGTTTGTACTTTATATGCATCACTATATTAATGCTTAACTAAGTGTCTCACCTTTTTAAAATTACTATTCTTTACTTAAATGACTTACAAACGTGATACACAATTTCGGCTGTAGCATGTACATCATTAATTGTGTTAACATTTGATCTTTGAGTAACCGTGTGAAGAATTACGAAGATTGCTGCGCCTCTTAATTAATTTCGATATGTTGAACAATATAATATTAAGAGATTTCTCATGTGACTGTTACATTATGAAAGAGACGTACGTACGTACGTAAATAAATTAATTTTGGGAATAGTTTATGATTGATATTCTCTGCACAACAATGTGCAAAAAAAAACCAATTATAAGTAATGACTTGATATAAGAATATAAATATTTTGTACGTACGTATGTACTTATGTACCAGTACGAATGAGATTTCCTTCATTACCGATACTTAGGGTGTGGTGCCACATATAAGTGAAAAGTGAAACCTTAGTCCAAATTACAAATCATACCTAATATAGTATTTTATCCTAATATTGCTGTATTGCGAAAAAGTAATTTTTTTAAAAAAAGCTTAGGTTTCACTCTTTCATAACATTTAAAGGAAATAAATCCATCTTTAGTAAGTAAAAAATAGTAACGCGGATATTAAGACCCTTAAAATCATCAAGAAATAACCTCGGAAGAGCTTTGTGGTAACAGTTTCAAGATAAATAAAGAATAGTAACGGTTGCAGTTAACTTTTTTGTATTAAAATCTATCCAATCATTTGTAATTTAAAAATAATAATTTATGCATTGTGAATCTCGGGCAAAATTTCCGATTATATAATAGCAAAACTTAGTAATATCATATCCAATTCAACCAATTCGAAATGATTTCTACCTAAAGAACTCTCTAAATATACAGTATACGTATATCGTTTATAAGACCCAATTTAGTATAAAATTGGTAAGATTAGTTTAAATCGGCCGCTCTCACTTCACTACATGGTTCCCAGATAATTAATTCATAGGCAAGATCATTTTACGGACGGATAAGTCTATTACATAAATAGTTCATATTTCACCGATGGCTTGTTTCATAGACATATATTTCACTGACTGCTTATTTATTTCATAGATCATTTTATTTCATCAACAGCTTATTTCTAGAGATAGGAAAAGGTAATAATGTAATTATTATTTTTTTAATACGGTACTTACACACACGCTATTACAATTACTATTTATGAATTTTTAAATACATCGGGAGAATTAAATAAGTGCAAATCTGCAAAAACTTGCGAAAATACAGATTTTTGAGAATTTTTTGCAAAATTTTTCATATATTGAAATTTTGCGCAGAACTGTATTTAATTTCTGTAGCTATATCTGGTGAGTCTGAAGTTTTGCACAGGTTTTCATTTAATTTATTATTTAATTTTTTTGCAAATCTGCACAGAACAGCACTAAAAAATTTCTCCCGATGCTATATACTGTTTAAACTCAATTATCTGTTGATCGTGTGCAAAAAAATTCGCAGATCAGTATTGTATATGCGACTTACCGTAAAGTGCCATGCCGAAGACCCGGTGTGATGCAATTTTTTACAATAGAAAAATTTTTAAATCATATATGTTATGTATCACATGATGTATAAATAATATTTAAAAAATTAATCTCCCATATTTGTCACGCCGGGTCTTCGGTATGGCACTTTACGGTAGTCGGGCCGAAAAAAAAGAACATGAATCTAAAACATCGATCTCATTAATTGATATACCGTTCATCAATAATATATTGATCAATTAATGAGATCGATGTTTTAGATTCATGTTCCTATGACAATCACGGGACCGACAATTTTTTTTCGGCCCGACTAAGTCGCATGTATAGTATAGGTTCAAATCTATACTATACGGATCAGGTATTAGCGTTAGTTTCTGTAATTTTGCAGTATAATTTTGAAAAATTGACCTATACTGATCTGCTACGTATAATTTCGGTCAGTCATTTGACAATTCCAAATTCTTAACATTAGAATTTGTAATTGTCAAATGACTAAGAGGCTATATTTACGTAATAAATATTAGTCTCCTAAGTGAAAACAGGATTTGATGGATTAGGGCACAAATCTTATTGTAAAAGGCCGGAGATTCCGTTTGTATGTGACAATTTTTTTCAGCAGAAGGAAATTTTCTGTTCTTTATAATAATCTACTCCGCGCAAATCTTATTGTAAAATGCCGGAGATTTCTGTTTGCATGTGACAATTTCCGGCTCGATTTTTCAACAGATGGAAAACTTCCGTTCTTAATTATTAATATATAAACTTTTGCTATGATATAATATGTATTATATATTTAACGTTAACTCTTTTTGGATAAAAGCAGTCAAGATGAAAACAATCAAAACGACGATAAAATTGTTCAAGAAAATTACCAGCCTATAAATGAAAATGAACAAATGAACTATGAAAGTGATCAAAGTATCATCGGTCTAATTATACAAAAAGGTTGAGAATTACAGAACCCAAATTAAATTTTCAAAATTATTGGCTTTCTGAATTTAATTAGCTTCGTTATAATAAAATTTCTCAATGAATGTTTTGCAAATATTGTACACTTTATAAAAAGCAAAATGTTTTTGGTAATATGGGTAAATACTAAGTGCATGCCCCCTAAGTGCACACCTCCTCTATATGCACACTTTAGCCCGGACCCAAGTTCGGGACTTAAACGTCCTCTATATTCTGCATGTGCACGGGTTTCCAGGATTTTAAACATATGTATACACCCCTTTAAATACACGCATGTGACTAATTTCAAGACAACCTCATACCTTTTTTAAAATTTTATATTTTATGCTAACCTTGCCAGTTACATACATACGTACGTATGTATAAACATATACACATAGTTATCTAAATTTAGAGAGCCAATTCCATTATCATAATCCTCCTTATGAGAAGTTAAATTTGGGCCTTTAATTTTGATTAAAGGATATGTTGGCTTTGTAGACTAATTTTCTGACAATAGAGGTTTTACCTGTTCCACCTGTTCCATAGATAATGTGTTATCAGTTATTATCTTTGTCAGGTTCACCGCATACTGGATTATAAACTCTTTTTCAATTGCATTGTCCCAAAAAAAAATTTAAAAAATAAATTATTTTTTTTTTCTTATAAGCAAAAATTTAAACTATTGAAAAGTGACAAACAGAGGAAGAAAAGAAATCTATGCTGCTCAAACAATAGCCACCAATTTATTATTTAATTTCTTTCCATAAAAAATTAATCAATTTTACTTTGTTGCATGTGGCCAACCTTCGTTTTTTTGATAAAATTTTCAATTTTTTTATATAATTAATATATTTTTTTGTATCATCCTGCTGAAGTAAAAACATAAGCACAGTTTTCAAACTTGCAGTTGCCATATCAGCACTAACAATAGAGATTTTAAAGCTATTATCAGCATCCATTGAGTCATCCATTCTGAAGATTTCAACAAGCTCTATAATAACTTGATTATCGGGGGAACTTCATAAACGATATTTTTTTCAGAAATTGCAAGGTACTCTTCAATATTCATAGGGTCAGGAAGATCAAGAGATTCAAGTGTATTGGCAATATCATTGATAATAGGATCTGTGGTTTGGCAAAAATCTTCTAAAGAACTTGTGTTATCTGCAGAAAAAATTTTTGTGTAATACTAGCAATTTCAAATTGTATTAGCTTTAACTTCGTCTCACTTTTGAATAGTAAAATAGATTGCTTGTAACACATCCATTTTTTAAATCTTCTACACATCATCCATTTTTGACTTCTTGTAACATCCAACTTAAAAATAATCTAATTAGTGTAACATCTAATTTGATTGATTCAAATTTTTTTTTTATTAAAAAAAAAACTTACTGAACATGAAGGCAACAATAGTTTCTCTTGAAATTAACAACAATACCAGCATTTATAGGCTGAATTCTCGAAGTTGTATTTGGAGACAAAAATAAAATATCAGTAAATTTGAAAGTAATATTACCAATATCATGGCTAGAGCAGTTGTTAAAAAGTAAAAACACATGTTGGTCCAATACTTCAAACTGATTTGGCGATCCAATTCAAGGATCCATTCATGGAAAAGAGATATAATTATCTAGGCTTTAGTACTGTTTTTATATGTTATCACCAAATTACTAACATTAATATTTTTAAAATAGCACAGTTTTTTATATTTTCTAATTATAAAAGGATTCAGTTTATAAAAGCCATTAGCATTTGTACACAATGCAATTGAGAGCTGTTCTTTACTTATTTTATATCTAGAAAGATATTGGGTTGCCAATATATGATCGGGTTCTAACCTAAAGATAAATTTTAGTAATATAGTTTATATGAAAAGAAAAATCTAAATCCATTTAAATTTATTTTATTTAAAATGTATATACTATACTGATAGAAAAGCCCAGTTTCATCCAAGTTTTTATTAAATTCTGGTAAATTTCAATGTAAACAATATTTTTCAATTATAAATGAAAGTTAATTTGCATAATAAAAATCAAGATAAGTAATGTAAAAGAAAGTTGCGTGAAGTTAAAACCAAGTGCATTACGAGATTACCCGTTAGTTACATGTTATATTTAGCCAATCAAAATTGTGAATTTTGATTAATCCAGATCAGTCTGAAAATTAAAACAAGTGATTAAACTTAATTATCTCAAAATTATATATATTGACATATCCACCCTTTCTACTGCAAAGGCCCCATATATTCTTTATTGATGACATGATGTTATTAATTGCCACTATATTAGCAGATGCAGATTCGTCTTGAAGTTTATATAGATGAATGCCATTTTGATTTTTGAACATATAAAGCTAGCCAAAAGAAAAACTTAGTGCACCTTAAGAAATCCTTAAACTATCAGCAACTACTTTTGCTTTTTCAACTAGTAAAGCATTAGTTAAAATTGTTTGATGCTGATAAATCAACATGAACTTCTTTAGGGCCAAATCAAGTTCTAGATAGGTAACAGCTCTGTGACACTTTGTATTAAAATTAACATTATTGTTATCAAGTTGTTTTTCTGTTGTGTGAAATTGTGCTTTCGTCAACTTTAAGATTCTATTTGTTCTTAATTCATTTAACATATTGAGACTAAGTTTTTTTTATTATCATAGACATAGACACAAAGTTCATGTTTTTAATAATCAGTAAGAGTTGTTCTTTTAGGCATTTTTTTGAACAAAAAAACCAGGTTATATACGAGATAAGTTATTTAAGTAATTTTTTTTTATAATTTTTATTGCATAAATTTAAGAAGTTAATTTTAATTTTTTTTGGTTTTTAGCAGTGTGTTATTTTTACAAATAAGTTATATTTGAAGAAAGGTTGTTAGATTTATTAGGCTAATTGGGTTATTGTCATTAGAGACAGACCTTTATTTTGTAACATAAGCAATTGATAACAAATAAAGTTTATATTTTACGAGATGTTTATATAAATAATAAAATACATGTTCTGTTTGAGCATGTTTAAATAATCAAACAAGAAATGATAAATTAGTAAAAAGTATTTTAATAATTTAAATTAATATAGTCAAATTTGACATGAGTGAATTCCACTTACTAGTACTGAATTTTTTTATGAACAGATTAAAAAAGTAATTCTTGAGGCTTAAGAATCTGAGATTCTGGTTTTGGAATAGTACTGGTATCTATTCTTGAGAATTAAAAAAAAAACTTTTTTTAGATGTTGCAGATCATAATTAAATCAGATTTCCACAAGTTTTTGATATTATATATAATTCATTGTGAGAATTTTTTTAAAAAGTCTCACCAAATTTGGTATAACTATGCAAAATAATGCAAAGCTGTAAACTTACCAGTAAGTTACGTGTAAATTATTTATAAGTTATTATGATAAGTTGCTAAAAAATAATAATTTTATAATAACTTATCATGATATTAACAATCTTGACAATGTGGTACAAGGTTAAATAGATCAAATGCAATACTAAATCAGATTAGAATGAATAATATATAGTATAAAAAAATATGCATTTTTAGGGAGTTAGTTTTAGAGTAGAATTTATCTATAACTATATAATAAAAATATTTGTGTGTAATAATAACATTTAGATTACTAATATAAATAATTCAATTAAATTGTGTAATATTAAATCTGTTATTTTGATTTGTCAATAAATTCTTTAAATTTATACAAGAAGTTATTAAGTAAAGATATTTTCAAAGCTTAAATAAAGTTGTAAAGAAGAAAATTCTAAGTCAAATGGTAGTTAGATCATCAAAATCGGCCTAGTGGTTCTTGAGATATCTTGGGTTAAAGGTGCAAACATAAGGATTGGCAAAGTTACTGTTATACAAAGTATTAATCCTTATATTTAGATCTTTAATCCCACATATCTCAATAATTACTAGCCCAATTTTGATAATCTAATTACCATTTGACTCAAAATTATCTCCTTTACAACTTTACTTAGAGCTTAAAGATATGTTTACTTAATAACTTCTCACATAAACTTAAAGAAACTATAATTGGACCTATTTCAGGTTCAATGTAACCTACTTTGGGATCAAAATATACAAAAAGTAGTTTTTTGTAATTATCTTGACAACTAGTAGTTCAATTTAGATGAAATTTTTTTTAAATAAAAGCTCTCAGTGAGGCACATTCAATAAAAAAAAAGTTTATTTAATTCTAATTACTAGATTCTAAAATATTTAAGAAACAATAAATTTTTAATTTTAAAAAATTAAATTAAAATTAATAGGCAATCTGCCAGTCACCTGGATAAAAAATTTTTTTTTATATATAAATTTTACTATAAGTACAAATGTATAGTACTTCTATCTAAAACTTTTTTTTATACTAAGTAAATCACTCTTTGGCTTCTAACAAAGTTGTAGAGCTCATCAAAATGTATTTAATACTGTAAAGATATTAAAATTGGTCTGGTAGTTCTTGAGAAATCTTTAAAAAACTTCTTTTTCATATATAAAATTTTTTTAAAAAAAATTAATTTTTTTTAAAGAAATTTTATATATGAAGAAGTTTTTTAAAGATTTCTAAGAATTACCAGACCAATTTTAATATACATATAGTATTGAATACATTTTGATGAGCTCTACAACTTTTGTTAGAAGCCAAAGAGTAATTTACTTAGTATAAAAAAAAGTTTTAGAT